GATGAAGTTAAAGTTCACGGAGCGCTGCGCTCGTAGCTTCTCAGCTAATGTTGGATTCTTCGTCGGTGACCCCAGCGTCGTCGTCCGTTCCTCTGTAGGGCCCTTGGCAGAGCTAGTGGCCGATGTCGTCGATGCCGAGCAATGCGTTCTGCAATCGTAGAGCTATCTGATGAAGCCGCCGCCGAGGATGAGACAGACGGCCTGCTTGAAGGCACAGGTGCATTGAAATTGAGGTGTGGCTGCTCGATCTTCGGGTCGCGTTTCCATGATGCGGTGGGCGAATTATGTCGTTCTCGATCTGGACATTGAACCGAAGTCGCCGTAGCTCCCGCCATCTGCACTGTGCCGAGTGCCATCGTATACATCAGCTTCCTGATCGGGCGCGCCGTAGTATTCGTCAAGATTATGCCGAGCCTGTCCCGCTGAGATCTACTCAGTCTCGGTGTTTTCCAGAATGACATGTTGTACTGGAATCGCACTGGGTACAGACGTCGACGTACCAGTCAGACCTCCGTCTGTGGGAACAGGAGAGCCTGCGCCAATATCAGGGTGATGATGCCAGCTGGTGGCCGATGAGATGTGAAAACTGAAACCAGTGACTGAAGCTCCAGATCCAGCTGCTTCTTGATTGGCATAGCGCCGGCGATCAGGACTTGCCGCGGCCGCGTGACTTTGAATATTGCTGAGGTGGCGCTGCAGCGACTGGTTCCTGCTGCCCTATCGTGCGGCGCAAATCACCGCGATGCCATTTGCTGCCGCAGATGCTGCAACCATTCTGAGCCCCACCTCGATTGCCTCGGCCGCCGCAGTTGGGAACGAACTTATCGCCTTTACGTTGGTATTTCCCTCTGCTCTTGCTTCTGCTGCTGCGTCGACGACCTTTGCCGCCGACGTAGCCTTAACCTCGATTATTGCCTTTGTTGCCGCCGCCGCGGTAGGTCACGTAGCCCCCATCGTGAGCCCATCCAAGCATGCGCCATTCTGATCATGCTGCGGCCAAGTGTCGTCATCAACCATGCAGTGCTAATTCGCCGTCAAGAGTGGCGCTCCATCCTTCATCTTCTGTCCAACCACATTCGTACTTGGTCACGTCGTAAGCCTCGTACCAGATCTCGCGATACTCTGCGAGGCTGTGCTCGTTGCCGTTCTGGTCGGCATAGAGCGCCCAGTCCTGATGACGTCGCGCTTGATCTTGCTTGCCTAATGTCATGAGCAACCCACGGATAGCCCGATATTGTGCTAGGTCTCCGCCGACGTCCAGTTTGACGTCATCGATGCGCTTCTCGCTGAAGTCTGAGTTCTCGAGCAGAAAGAGCACTTTTCCAACCACATGCATGTGGAGTTCGCCTTCTTCACAAGCGCCCTCGCATGCCACCTCATACTGCGCGATCCTGGTTGCGAGCTCGCTGTTGCCGCGCCTGCAGTCGAAGTGGACGTCCAGCACGATGCCCGCGCGACCCTGGTCGTGGAACTCGCGCACTGACTCTAAGGGTCTAACTTGTCCAGAAACTGTCTGGCGCCACTGCGTTATCCGACCACTCCTGCCGCCGGCTCTGCGGGAGGCGGCCGGGAGCGCCATGGCCCCGTCGCCTCTGAAGGTCACGCCGCCGCGCGTGATCGCGTAGCTCATAGCCCGAGTGAACGGCGGGCCCTTCAACCTACTCACGATCAAAAGCCCGATGCGCTCCTCACTTTCCTCGTCCGTGATCCTCCACCATAGCCGCAGTTTCTGCAGGTGCCGCTGGAACGCGTATCCTCGCAGATTAGGTCACCACCCAGGTGGTGCATTTTGAAATCTTCCAAGCCAAATCCCCCTTTCTCGGGATCGTCATATCCACCAACCACGTTGTCGCCGTCGCTGTCAAGGGTCGCGGGGCGTTCTGAACTCCCGCAGCAAGCGTCGTGGAAAGTGAAACTCTTGAGGTCGCAATCGACCTTGTAGTTGCTGCCTTCGTCTCCGTAGAGGGCCGCGTAGGGCTCGACCTCGCTGCCGCGGAAGCTCGCGGGGTAGCCCTCTGCGATGCGCGCGCAAATATACATGGCAATGCTGAAAAAAACAGCCTGGTATACTTCGTCGTCTTGATCGAATTGAGCGCCGCCTGGCGGCGCGGATGGCGCGAGCCGGGCGCGCGCGCTCGCCGGGGGGGGCGGCGCCCGGGGCTGGCCGAAGCCAGCTCCGCTACCAGAGTTAGTTTCTGGTCGACTCGAACCAGGGCGGTAGCGGAAAATCTTCTCGATGGGAACCGCTCTCTCTCTCTCTCTCTTTCTCTCCCTCTCTCTCTCTCTCTCCTCAGTTCTGGACATCCTACTATCCCTCGCTGATCCACTATCTTGCAACCTTCTACACCCAGGGGCCTAATCCTCACGAAGAAGGGAGGAGGGGGGTCAGGTGGCCTGGGTGGCTCTGCCGGGATACGGGGAGGGGGGGGGTCTGGCGGCGCGGGTTCAGGCGGCGCGGGCGGGGGGGGGGCCCGGCCCCCCGCCCCGCCTGTGGACAACGGGAATTGGATGAAGACGGGGGGGGGTCCGGCGGCGCGGGTTCCGACGGCATGGGGGAGAGGGAAAGGGGGTTCCGTGGCGCGTGGGTTCGAAGGAGCCTCGCGGCTACAGCCTCGAGGCTGAAGTCCAGCTTCTGGGGGCGTTGCCGGGATGCTCCGCCGGGTAAGGAAGGGAGGGGAAGGGCGCGCGCGGGTGCGCGGGGCGATGTTTCTCCGCGCGCACGAGAAGGGAATCGGGCAACGAGGGAGAGAAAACGTGGAACGGGACAAGAGCGGAAAACGTCTAACAAATTTGGTGCGGGGGGGGAAGGGGAGAAGAAGGTGGCGGTGAAATGCGTGTCTGTTGCGTGGTGTGTGCGCGCGTGTGTTTGCGCGGCGTTCGCGGCGTGTGAATGTGTGTGTGTGTGTGTTGCCGGCGTGTGCGTGCGCATGTGCCTGCGAAGGTGGCGTGCGTGCGTGAGAGTGGTGTGTGTGTGTCTGTGTGTGCTGTGTGTGTGTGTGTCATTGTGTGTGTGCGCGTGCGTGCGTGCGCGTGCGCGCGCAATGTCTGCGAGCGCGTGCGCGCGTGTCTGTCGGCGAAGTGTCGCCGCCCACTCTGGGGGGCGCCCCGAGCGACCCGGATCGGCGGCAGTGGCCGAAGGCCACTACAATATGTACAAGTCGGTGTCGGGTCTGAGGCCTGACCGGGTCCTGGCGCCTCCTGGCAAGTATGGACATCCGTGCGCGAACTGCCTACCGGTTCTTCCTCTTGGGCCGCGCTCTGCACGACAGGATCGTCGAATTTCAAGGATGTTGGGTAGATACTTCCACATAGTTCCGCGTGCGAAACATCTGGGAGGCATTGTCAGTGAGCCCAGGAGTTCCGCCGCCTACAGCTGCTATCGGTTCGTATTCGTGAATGTTGTCGGGCTTAGTATGCCAGGAAAGGAGTGCCCACTTGTGGCTCTGATCCACAGTGTTGGGACATCCTCGCCATCGCGCGTGTGCTTTAGCTGGAGGCGTGCTTTCCTAGCACCCAAAAAGCCTATCTGATTGGCGATGTGTAGAAGTAACCATGTTACATTTTCGGGCGGTTGGCCGCGCATCAATTTGGCGATTGCGTCGCGGTGAGGACCGCCCCAAATGTTGGCCAGAACACCAATTCCAGCTACCCATCCATCGTGACAACCCCAGGACCAGCACGCCTTCAGGAATCGCTCATGATTGGCATTGCTAAGACATCGCTTTTGTCTGCAAGTGCGAAACCACCGCGCAGACATAGCAGTCATTTCTCCTTGCTGTGGTAAAGGGTGATAATTGTCATGGGTCCTTCGCAGGAAGGTTTCTAGCCTTGTCTTTTCTCCCTGGAGACCCAGGGGCAGCGCGCTGCGAAGATTTCTACGTCGCATTTCTTGCGATGTTTCGGCGGCAGGCTGCGTCGGCATAGCAGATGGGCCAGGATCCTTATTTTTATTGGGCGTGTCCGCCCCTTCTGGGCTTGGAGTCTATGGGCGCGTCCGCCCAAGCTGGGATGTCGGCGCCGCCCTGCTTAGAGGGCCTAGCCTTTGACCATGGCACAAGGAGCGCGGTCGGCGGCGGCTCGGCAGATGGCGAGGCCGCGGCCGACGACCTGGCAGATGCCTCGGCGAGTGGCCCACCCTGGAACTCTGCCTGCGCGGCGCCGACTAGCTTCACTGCCTTCTTCTTTCCTTCGGGCCGAACAGGCTCCACGTGGAGGCCTTCCGGCTTGAGCTGCGGCTGCTTTCTCCAAATAAGCTTACCCTATCGGAGCCCCCCCCCTCCTTTTTCCAATGCCCCCTCCCGTCATTTACAATGGCGCCCCCCTCCCCCCCTTTTGCCAATGGCCACCCTCCCCTTATTTCCAATGCCCAGAAAGCCCCCAGTATCCCCCAAGACCCCCAGGACCCCCTATGGTCCCCCAGGACCACCCAAGGACCCGCCCTGGACAGGACCCCCCAGAAACGACTCCCCAGGACCCGCCAGGACCCCCCCAAGGACACTCCAGGACCCCCGCCTCGTCTGGCCGAGCCGAGCCGGCGCGCGCGGCTCTGTAGGGTTCGATGGTGCCCAATGGGGCCCGAAGGGGCCCAGGGGGGCCCGAACCGAATTGGCTGAACTGGCCCGAACGACCATGCCGAAACCGAACCAGCCCGAACCGGCAGGTCGCTGAAACCGAACCAGCGCAACCGAACCGGCCCGTCGCCGAACCGGCCCGCCGCCGAACCGGCTCGAACTGATCCGAACCGGACCCCTTCTGAAACAAGCGAACCTACATGCAAGCGGACCTGCTCGTCCAAGCCCAACCATCATTTCCCAGATGCGTCCTCGGAAGGGGCCCACTCACGCAGCGCAACAACTGTGCGACGATGCTTACTTCACTCGCCCTGTTCCAAAACGTAGTGGCGGATGTGCGTGGGAGAGCAACGGGATGGAACAAAACGGGCAGGGACAAAGTGAGCAGACACGCACTGGCTGCCCCAACTAGCAAGATCGGCAGAGTGCCTTCCCACAGCGTTCCACCAGCAGCGTCAGCCTCGTTGCCTGAGGGGGGGCGGAGGATGGGGGACTCTCTCTCGCGCAGGTGTCCCAAGCAGCCTCTGCACTGGGGTCCTGCGGGGCTTTTGGAAGTGGCCCCATGGAGACGATATTCCCTGCATCAGCTTGAGTCGCTACTGATCCTCGCGGCCTAAGCATGATGCAAGCAGTCAAACTCGCTTGCAACTTGCATGGAATGAATTCAAGTCCGATGAGAGATCGAGCCAATTCCCTGATGATAGAGAATATGTAGAAACTGATATTAGACTTTAGTTCGACAGCCAAGTCATGCAGAAGTGTACCGCATATCATATGCGATCCTATTCTGCATGATGAGGCCCCGTAGCTTATACGGCAGGGGACACCGCCGAATCGGTCCCACGACCGCCTGAAGAGTACCCGAAAGCATCCTCAGATGGCCCAAATGGAGAGTAAACGCCAGGAGCCATCCAAGAAGTGTCGCATACGCTCACTAGGAACCCCCGAAGGAATGACCACATCCCCGAGAAGCGGCCGATACAGCGCTAAAGGCTTTACCAGACGGCCATAGAGGGCCTCAAGAGGCTGGCGGGCTCATCTCACTACAAGGTGCCACAGTCAGTATGCTATAATGTGGCCCTTTCGCTCGTCTTCCTTTTGTCGTCCTCTCGCCAGTCGGTCGCAGCGGACAAGACCGTAGCCAACCCATGTTGTACTATACTATGCCGTGCTACGCGGCACCACAAGAACCGACCAGACCAGACCAGCGGAGAGAAATCCAATCTTGTGTCTACAAGTTTGCCGCCCTCCCTCCCACTGCCGACACACGGGTAGCAAAGGGTCATCAACAATAAGAAGGAGGCGCGGGAAAGAGATGTGAAAGATAGATTGTGAGGCATAAGTGCGAAGACAAATACTTCGATAGCGGGCATCAGGAAACACATAGGATCAAGACTCGCGTCAAACGACACCCGACAAGACCAGGTCGGCATACATTGCACTGCGCCTGGTCAAATCAGACTTGACCTAGGCAAGGCCACGATACGACGTTGGAATATGCAACGATCAAGTGGGAGGTTGGTCGCTGGATGGGCTGGTGAAGGCACCTGAAGCAATCATACGACAACGACATCCATATGCTCTAAGAACTAAAGCTGTTAGCTGCTCACTGCCCGCGTGTCACCACCATTTTCGCATCAAAACCCTGCATCCCTGCCCCTTTCGTTTATGAACGTACCACTTTGGAGGGCTCTTTTCGTACAAAAGCGGGTCGGACGGACGCACCCTCACGGGCGAGTCGGGCGGGCTTCCAAGCGAGAGAACGGGCGGTCCTTACTGGGCAGGTCGGTCGGGCGGGCGGGGTATCAAAACGGATTGCTACGGCTCGGGCGGGCGGAACATGACGGGCGGGTGAGGCGGCCGGACCATTGCGGGCATGTCGGGCGAGCGCGCCCTCACGGGCGGGTCGCATGACTTGACCGAGCCCTATCCCCCCTGGCGTGGCCTTGGCCCCACTGGTCAACATATCCTCCTAGGAGGGGATCTATGCTGTTCCAGTAGGGCTTCGTGGGGCCACTCCCCATCTAGGAGGATGGGTTGGTGGGGATGAGATACCGTGGCCCAATGAGGATCGGGATAGGTTGGTGGACGATGCTGAGACGGGCCGGCCGGGCGAGTGGGTTATTAAATCGGGCGAGCGGGCCTCCGAAAAAAAGAAACGAGGGGGGACCTTCACGGGCAGGCCAGACGAGCGGACCCTGACGGGGGGGTCGGGCGGGCGTGACTTTGGAGCGAATTGAATCAATTCTGAAGCAGCGGGTGGGCTTCCAAACAAGCGAACGGGCGGACCCTAGGGGGTTGGTCGGGCGTGCGGACCCCTCACGGGCGGGTGTACAGGCGGATTCCAAAGGGTTTGTCGGGCGAGCGGGAAATGAAAACACGATTCCTGACTACATCGTGAGAAGTCTCGGGCGAGTGTTCGATGCTTGAGACAATCGCGAGGAACTCCGAAGAGGCCTCCAGAAGGCTCCAGGAGGCCCGAAAGAGGCTTCCAAGAGGCTTCAAGAGAATTCCAAGAAGCTTCCCTAGAGACTCACAAGAGGCCTCCAAGATAGGCCTCAAAGGTCCCTGCAGGGACCCCCACTCCCCAAACAAAGAGGCACTTAACGTTGCCCTCCGTCTACCCAGCGACCTTCACACGGCATGGTGGGGAAACGACCACTACCTAACAGCTTCCAGATCCCCAAGGGTACACGGGCAAGTGACAACGACAATGCAAAAAGGGACGAGGGAATCGACAAAGAGATTGAATGAATTGTCAGGAGGTCCTGCGCGATAGCGCGATTCGTGAGTGTCCAGAGCGCGGCACCCGAGTAACTGTGGGGAGGTCAGTCCCAAGCGAGAACACGATTCGTGAGGATGTCTCCAGCGAGAGCGCGATTCTCTAATAACCTGCAAGGGAATATCAGGCGGGAGCCACTGTTGTAGATCACAGGCCAGCAGCTCAGTCTGAGCAGAGAGGCTTCCCCTGATAAACAAGCAAGGTGCCGAGCGTCGGGGGAGGGCACTTCAACTGAACACCAGAAGTGCCACCAGAGGGGGATCACCAACAAGAATTCCAGAAAAGGACAACTCGACAATCAAAGCATGGCGCGCAGGCAACGAAGAGAGCAGATTGGCGCGCAACTGCCATTGACAGAAACCGGTATGCGATAAGAGGCGAGGCCCGTCGCCTAGATCGCGCAGCGTGGCCATCGCCTCGTCCTCACGCACAGCGATCATGGTGTCCGTACCTGTTGCCAGACATACGGCGGCCTGACCAAATCGAGACGGCCAGCATGTCTCCATGTTGCGTCGTCAGGAAACGGCTCAAAATGAAACATCGGCGCCAGGAACTGGGGCGAGATGTCCAAGGGGCCCCTGTCTCGACAAAGTCACGACGCAACAGGTCTTGGCTGCTGGTGACCCCCACACCACCAGAGAATCTCCTCCCCTTCCTTCCCCCTCCCCATGTTACCCAGGGGCAGACATCCGCGGAGGCGGGAAAGCAAACCCAGGAACGACGGAGGATCTTAAGTAGAATGCCTCGGAAGGTCCATGGAAGAATCCCCCCGAACCCTCACCTCAGTGAGGCAACTGGCAGATCGTTGGCACCGCGATAATTCCACTATTCCGGCCACGGGGTGCACCTTCCTCGCAAATGCTTGTCGTCGGCGCCGACTGTTTGGGGGGCCTTGGGCAGCCGGAGAGACGCCGAAAACCCGCAGCCGCCACTGGAACAACAGCCGGCAACATTAAACCGAGACGGCGGAGAGCGCCAAAATGACAACTGACAAAAAAGAGCAATCGATACTGAAACATCCGTGGAGGGGGGGCGGGATGATTCCGGGAACCACTGGGGATCTGCGGCGGAATGCCCCCGAAAGCCCGTGGAACAACTGGGTGTCTTTGGGGCGGGCTTTTCAGCTCAACTGACTCGCGCGGGTTTTCACCATCGTCATCAGCATCATCATCATCGTCGTCATGATCCTCGTCATCGCCCTCGTCATCGCCATCATCATCACCGCCGTCACCTTCGCATCATCGTCATCATCATCATACTCCTACCACCTCCTCGTCAACGTCATCATCACGTGGTGCTGACGATGGTCATGATGATGGAGATGATGATGGTGGTGATGGTGACGGCGATGACGATGATCATGATGGCAGAGGTAGACAAGGGAGCACGGGGGGAGGCATATGAAGACGATGGCGATGGTGGTGATGATGAGGAGGAGGGCGGGAGGAGGCAAAGGCAGACGGGGGAGGACTGGGGGAGGCAGATAGCAAGACCTTTCTTCAAACAGCCGTCACCGAGAGTCGAGCTTGCGGTCCAGAATGTCTAAGACTGTCGCAATCGAATCGGCAAGGCCATCACCCTCAGTGGAAGCGGGCCAGACCCTGACTTCGCCCAGCACCTCCGTGAGGCCAGGCAGCGCCACGGGGACACGGGCCAAGTGCTCGGCCACGGCGCGGTCCACGACGGCGAAGAACTCCTTCGGGCCAGGCGTGGCGTCGACCCCGCGCGCCCTGAGGTCCCGAAACACGTCGGAGCGGATCATCGCGGCGATCTACAGCCTGCGGTCTTCTACGTGCTGTTGCAGATCGCGACCGGTCTCGAAGGCGCGCTTGCAGTCCTCGGACGCGCGGCGGTGCGCGTTGCGCTCCGGGGCGGGCAGGTCCCCCGCGTAGAAGGACCCAAGCTTTTGCTCGAAGGTGGTTTGCGTCTTGCACGGGATCTTCACTTCGACGGAGCGCGCCCCGGAAAGCGCCGCGGCCTCGCGCGGCAAAGAGCAGCCGCCATCTGCGTGCCAGCTATCGTCCCGAGCGCCTGGTTGCATGAGCTGGATCGATGCGTGCGCGAACGCGTTGTCGGCGACGTTCTCTTTCAGGATGGGCGTTCCGCTCTTTTCGCTGATGACCTCTGGTATATTGTCGGCGGCGACCGCCCGGCGTATTTTGTCCCCCAGCCGTTGCAGCCGCGGGCGCCACTTCCTCCGCATCGCCCGCGCGAAAGCGGCGAAGCGGTCCGAGGGGGTGAGCTTCAAGGCCCCGACCCCGTTGAGGCTGTGGCACTTCGGGAGCTTTCGTCGTCCGCGATGCCTGGGATCCCGGCGTCTCCTCGGGCGCATTTGGGCGCGGCTGCCCCCGCGCCCAGGCGCCCCTTGGCCAAGGTGCCCCAGCAGGGGCATGCCTGCAAGTAGCGGAGCAAATTTGGGTCGAGGTCTGCCTCCGCTATCGTTCCCGCGCCGCTCTTGCCCCGCTGCAGGGCCACGCGGACGTGCAACTGGGCGCCGAGCAGCTGCAGAAAGAGACGCGGTCTTACGCGGCTGGTTGTCGGTCTGGCGCCCAGGTGCCAGTCCAAGCAGATCTCGGCGATCTCTTTGAAGTCTGGGGGGGGGGGGGGGGGGGGGGGGGGGGGGGGGGGGGCAGCCTTCGAGTCCTGGAACGGGCCGCTCTCCTGGGTCGTCGAGTCCCACCAGCCCTCTGGGCGTAGGTGGTCTAGAACAGATCCTCTTCCACCCCTCCCTCTTCCCCCTTGGGGAGGGGTTTACCCCTCCCCCTACCCCCTCCCCTGGACCTGGACGGGGGGGGCCGCGGGTAGTTAGAGCGTCCAAGATGGCCCAAGACGGCTCCAAGAGCGCCTCAGAGAACCCAAGATGAGCTCCAAGATGGCTCAAGATAGCGCAAGATCGCTCACGATGGCTCCTGAGATGGTTCCAAGAAGCCCAAAGACGGCCCCAAGATAACTCCAAGTGGCCAAACAGCTCCCCAAGGAGGCCCCGAAGAGGCCAAAATCGTCCCAAAACCTAAGGAAAATCAATGATTTTTGCTTTCTCGCCTTTTCGCTTCCGATGGCCATCCGAGGCCTGGAGATGGCTCCAAGATGGCCCAAGAGGGCCCCAAGAGAGCCCCAAAAGAGCCCCAAGACGGCCCCAAGAGCGCCCAAGAGCACTCCAAGAGCGTTCCAAGAGGGGTCCAAGAGGCGATTTTAGGGGCTTCCGAGGGGGGGCGCTAATTAAACCCCCCCTCTTGTTTGATCGACTCCCTCCAAGATGGCCCCAAAAGCGCCCCGAAGGCTCCCCAGAGCGCCTCAAGAGGGTCCCAAGAGGCGCCCAAGATGCCCCAAGGCGCCCAAAAAGCCCTCCAAGAGGCCCTCAAAAGACCCCCAAGAAGCTCCTTCCCCTCCTCCTCCTCCTCCTCCGATTCTTCCTCCTTCTCCGTCCTCCTCCTCCTCCTCCTCCTCCTCTTCCCCCTCCTCCTCCTCCTCCTCCTCCGACGACGACGACGACGACGACGACTCCTCTTCCATCCTCCCCCTCTCGGGGTCTGTGACAGCTTCCCCCGCCCTTTGTTATTCTGCATGCTCCCCGACTTCCCTGATCACCTCAACTCCCCTGAGCATCGTTTCTGGATGGGCTGGTGGGGATACGCGAAGCGTCAACAATTTCCTTGCTGGTTCAGCCTTTAGCCAATCCCCGCCCGACTGCCCGTGCCACTTCGGCAAGCAAGGCAGGGGGCCCAGCCGCGTGGCGGGATCCTCTGGCGGCCCGCAGCGTCGGGGCCCTGGCTCCAGGCCTGGGGACCTCAAGATCTCTCCGACGCGATCCACGGACGCTTTCGGGCGCGCCGCTGGCTGCTCGGGCCCGGGCGCAGGCTCTCCTGCAACAACGAACAGCGGCTGGCGCGCCCACAGCTCCGCGGCCGTGCACCCGAAGGACCACATGTCCAGGTCATCTTGGAAGCGCTGGTTCCCCAGGTAGACCTCCGGCGGTCTGCAATTGGGCGCGCGCACTCCGAGGTCGTGTTCGGTGGAGCGCAGCTTCTTCGCCAACCTGACCTGCTCGCCACCTCCGCGCAGCCGAGGTCGCCGATCGCCACCTGCAGAGAGGGGCGGATGGAAGAGAGGGGAGCGACGGCGACCGAGCTCCGTCTGGGGGGAAGGGCGGGATCGAGGGCACGACGACGGCCTCTCGGGGGAAGGCTGGATCCTACCTTCGTAGAACTTGGCGTGAGATCTAGCATGAGGTGCCAGAGCACGATTTGAATTCTAACATGTTATTCTAGTAAGCTATAACCTCATATGTTCGAGCTCCCATGGGGCTCTCACATGCTATGTTAGAGCTCCATGGGAGCTCGAACGTGCTATGTTAGAGCTCCCTGGGAGCTCTTTCATGCTATGTTAGAGCTCCCACGGAGCTCTCGCATGCTATGTTAGATATCCCTGGGAGCTCCAACATGCTACGTTAGAGCTCTACTTCAGTATGCTTGCACATGCTGCGTTCGACCTCGGGTAACATCCATGTTCGTGCTAACTTTCGGGCGCTGGGCCCCAGCGCCTCGAAGGATCTCTGGGTCTGGCACTCGAACTCCAGCTTGCTCTTGGGGCCAGGCGCGACGGGATCCCATTCGCCAAGCCCCCGTGCTGCCAGTGACTCCTTCTTAAAGCAGCCGTGCGACTGCGCCGATCCTCGCATCGGGATGCTCGCGGGCTTAATGTCGCAGTGCAAGCAGCCTTTGATGTCGCGCATGTACTGGGGCCCGTCGAGAACGCTGTTCAGGACGCGGCGCATCCCGGACTGCGTGAATGAGGACTCCTGGAGGAATTGGCGCACGCCGATCTCGCGCAGGTCGAACGCGAGGCCGATGTGGTTCTTCCATGTCCACCCCGGGCGGGGCCCCCGTGACTGTTGCAGCACCCGTGGCCGCGACCCCTGCTCTTCCGCCCCTGAGGCGGACAACTGCCTGCAAAAGGCCCACGCCGAGCAAGCGAACGAGGCTCGGGTGCACGCCCAGAGCAACGAGGCGCCCGACCTCATCATCACCCGCCCCGCGGGCATCCGCATTGAATCCCGCGTCCGCATCGCGGGGGTCGCCCCGCAGCATCTTGATCGCAAAGCCACGCTTGTCGCCCCGTCGCGCGCCCGTGTAGACCTTGCCGTAAGTGCCCTCGCCGGGCTCCCCTGCTGTCCACTCCGCGTCGTACTCGCATGCCAGGTCCTCGCACCTGCCCCTGTCTCTTGCAGCCTCTTGCGCGACCCCCTGCGCCCCCGCAGGCTCGGTCACGCACGTCTTCCAGTTGCTGCCCAGCGCCGTCTTGAGGACCCGACTGCAGGTGTCAAACGCAGTTGGCTTTGGCCGCGTCACCTCCACTCTGCGAGCCGCTACCTTCTTCAGCGCCACTTTGCGAGTCGGTCCCACTCCTTGTACCCTTGCCATGGTGGTGTCGCCGCTTTCCCTCAGCTTCCTC